AAAAAATACACTCTGCAGCTGAGCAGCATCCATTCCCAGTTTGGTACAGTATTTCTCAATAAGAATTTTAAAAACCTACATATTTAATTTCTGGACAGCCAAGGACAATTTGACACGTTAATGAACATAAGTTGGTCTTTCCTATACATTGTTGACATGCTACTTGTTTCATTTTGTATCAGAATGCCAATTGTTCGTTTCCAGGACGTAAATAAAACAAAATAGATAAATCTGGCACAAAGAAATGAATGATAAAAATGAATTTAAAAAAATAAGAGGGAAATAGGAACAGGTGATCTAATGTATCACATGATCTTTTGCAATAAATCTTTGCAAACAAAAGATTCAACATGTTAGTAGTTACTTAAGATTTACATTTTTGTTGGGGGGAGGAAAAAAGCTGTTGTCAGTAGCGATTACAACAGGTTTTGGACCACTTCACACCAGTTTTGTTTTGCGAATTAGGACAATATTCCCCAGGGTTATACAGATAACATAAAAACTCCATGATCCAAATAGTAAAACTTAAAAATGGATTCCTTTAGCTAGGGCAACTTCACTTAAGATCATTTAAAATTACTGTTATATTCTGGTGCTGGATGAATTTTGTGGTAGTTTGTAATAGTGTAAATTGAAATACAGTACTGTTTTGAGAGCACCATTTCTGTCATTTAGTGCAGAGTTTTGTGGAGCACTTTTTAAAATTAAACTCTCTTTTAAATCAATAGTGAGTTAAGGGCTGTAACCTGATCGCTGGGATCAGAGGAAGTTTAGAAACTGCTTGAGATTCACTTTGAGTTTATGTCGTCTAAATCCAAGGACTGGTTTATAACCTTGTAATTCGTTCTCCTGCATCTTTTATTCTAAAGGTTAATAAGCTCCCAGTTGCCCATGCCCTAGGATGTCTTTTTCTCCTCAAACCAGGAGATAATTTACATGTGTTGGTAAGTAGGACATCATTATTTCTGAATTATAACCTTCAGAATTTTGAATCTGCATATACAATTTTTAAAAATTTAGTAGAAAAATTCTCGACATTTACAATATTAACATTAATTCTGAAGTGGAATAAACTTGTCAGAACTGGATTTCTTACATTACAAATAAAGCTTAACAATGGGGGAGACTATCAAATACAAGGATTATTATCAGTAGTATCTTTCTCAAAAGAATTACTTTATTACATTTCTAAGAATGAATGTCCAAAGCGTTAAAACTAAAATGGTTATCTATACCTGAATTCATATTGTACTTGTAAAAACTACAAAATTGCATTAAATATCAAAGCTGATAATTACAAAAATGTGCAGACTGTCTAATACTTCTGCAGTTCTGTGGCATTCACTTAGTCTCACGCAAGTACATTAGTCTTAAAATTAATCTTTAACAGGATTTGTGTTGTGTTCAAAGGATTATATTCTTTGCATTTGTTTTTGATGTAGTTTGAAGTTTTGAAAAATGAAGCAATACATATCAGAAACTGCCAGAGGCAGTATAGCTGCTTCTTCCAGCCATCTGGTGAACATATTCCTAAAGAGGTCCACAGCGCAAAGATTACGACTGTGTCATTTAATCTGCAGACTCAGGATGTGGATCATGTCTTTCAGACAAATGAAAGACTTTATTTATTGCCAGGCTATCACTGCCTACTGTTTACACAAACACAAACCTCAAAAAGCACCGGAGTCCAGGATACAATGCTGCCAAGCTATCGTCTGTACACTTATCACATGATAGATTTCATCCTCTGATACGGAAAATGGTGTGAAAAGGTAATGCTCCCAAATCACTCGTCATTTATCAATAAATAATTTGATGACAATTTACCAGAGGTATTAATGTAATGTTAATTAAAAACATTAGTTTTACTTTAAAATTAACTCAACATAGTTATGCTGAAAAAGCAGTAATGAATTCAAAATATAATTTTAGAAAAAGAGTACTTGCTAATTAGATTGTGCAATTGTGCATATACAAAAATTCCTAATAAAACACTAGACGAGATGTTTAGCCCGACAATGCTGTAGAACTGCCATTATTGTATTAAGCACAGGGGAATTGGAGTACACATGTAGCTACAATAGATCGAAAATTAAGAAGCTTACACACAACAGATTATAATTAATAATAGACCAGATAGCCATTTCAAGGCAGTAATCTAATCTCAGGGCTCAGATGACAATTTTAAACCACTGGAGCTTTCTTTGTTCTTGTGAATTCCTGAGATCTTTAGACTCCATGGATTACATTACTGCTGTGCAATCCCTCCCAGGTAGTCATTATTCTAAAAAAAATGTATTCCATAGATAATAATACAATAGTGAAACATTTACCCTTTGCAATCAGTACTAAAATTAAGCATCTGGCAATGACATAAAACTATGCCAGACACGGCACTAGAGCAGTTCCTCTTTACAGTTAGGTGTATTGTGAAATTAAAGTTGCTAAGTATTCAAAGCCTGTTTATAACAGTTGTAAATTCAAATATTAATGGACACAACAAACAGCGTAGTGTCTTGGAACACTGTCTTTCATCTCTTCAATCTTGTTTAAATCCATCCCCAGCTGGTGAAATGAAAGTTGCCCATCTCTGTTGGCTACAAGGAATACAAGCAAAATTAATGTGGGCAGGCAGCTCAAAGCCTATGGCATGAAACTGCATGCAATGCATCACTAATTAATACTAATTTTATAGTCACACTTCCAAGAGCCAGAAGGATCATTGTTATAGGAAAGGTTCCACTGCTAAGTGAAGGTGTTAGTATGGTTCAGATTGTTGCTGCTACATTGATATTTTGTAAGGAAGCAGAGAATATGTGTGCAAGTGTTTGTACACGTAGGGATATGGAAGAGAGAAAACCAAGTTCTTATTTATGCATTAAAAATATGCAGAGTACAACTTATTGTCCTCAAGCTGCAATACAATTTTAAGTGATTGAGAATTGCGAAAGCAATCAGTTGCTTCCTTCCTTATAAATCAAATGCCGAAAACTGGGTAAGCTGGATTTAAACAAGTTTTAAAATTGTACATAACTATCTGGTGTGATAGGAAACAAAATAAGACCACCTCTCTTGGATATATTCTCATCTGCACTGTTACCATCCTAAAGTGTTATAATTAAACAAGTGTTAGAATCAGACACTAAATGTGAAAACAACCTGTATAATTCAGGTACCTTTTAGACAACACTAAAAGAAGCTTCATCCTACAAGAGTTAGCATGGATGTAAACACATGGGTAAAAAGGTGGAAACATTTTTTAATTCCCCAGCTCTGCCAGCTCTCACTTTGGAGTTCTAAATTTACATTTTTTCTCAAATTTATCTTAATTATTTTGCAAAGCAACATTTTTCAAGTGAAAATGTGGAAATATTGATTGCAAAACAGGTTATGGTAAAAATTAAATGCAAATTTTTTCTGTGCACAAAATGGCTGCTATGTCTACTGACACAAGTCACTTCCATTTACAGTGAATCATGTGAAGCATCCTCCCAATGTGAAAGCAACAATTATTTAGAATTTATTTTACTGTATATAAACCATACTCGCTACATTCTCAAAGAATAATTGCTGTGCATTATAAGGGTAAAAGCTTTTTTAAAAAATTATTGTGTAACAGGAAATATTTTAGCTTCACAGAATTTCTCAGGATTGTTATTCCAGAATCCCCCGATTCCCTGATTAATTCCATTTTGCTTTCATTTTTAGACAGTAAAACTCACATAAGTCATCAGTCAGGACCATAACATTTAATATGACTTGTGGGAAGTATGAGTTACGGGCAAACTTGCAATAAAGCCGTATCATATATGACTTGCAAAGTTATGCATAAGTTTTATACGACTAACACATAACAAATACAGTAAATAAGTACATGGTCCTTGTCAATAACTTGCATTTAGTTGTACCTGTATTACCTGATGCCATGATGACGGGTCAAGACCTCATTTTCCATGCTGTTTCAACAAAGTACACTGTACTGTACCTCGCATCCAGTACTTCATCACCAGTAAATGCACATAAGGTGACAGGTTACAACTTTGCTTCTCACATTCCTTTTTGGGAGAAACTGAATGGGATTCGGGTGCATGCACGACTTGGGCAATTATACAATTTATAAAGAGACGAGTTGAGTGAGTCTTACTCTAGTAAATATTCTTTTGTATCTAAGCATTTCATCTTTGATGTGAAACAAAACTAAACGGTTTGCTTTCAGAACATACATGCCACGTGCTCAGAGACAAAGCATTTAACTTCCACACAAGTAAACAGTTGCGAGACTTCACATCATTGCTTTCTTTATAAATTACTAAAGCTGTTCAATTTTGGTTTTTGAATCTCCAATTTGATTGAATATATGTCACTTGCCATCACAGTATTGCAGGCAATTTTGTAGACATGAAACGAATAACTGCATGAAGCAACTGAAAATAAGACTTTTAAAAGTAACTTTTCAAAACGACGGAACAGATTGAACCACATTAGTATTTTCTGAATGGTTGGAAAAAAGTGAGATAGAAACATTATTTCATGTACATATGTTCAAAAAGAATTTACATGAGTCTGCATGTTGTTACAAGTGAGATTAGAATAGGAAGAGCTGATTCCTTGTGCAAATGAAAATGGGAAACAGATGCTGTAATAATTATACACAAATCAAATACATGGAAAAACCACTATGTCCTCCAGCTTCGTTGTTGAGAAATTGATGAAAAAGGTGATGGACTATCATGAGTTCAGTACCAAAACCCTTCCCAAAACAGATGATGTAATTCAGTAACATTTCCATTGCATTGCTAAGTCAGAAAAGCAGATGAGACTTTAATTGAAGGTCTAGTGTGGATTTAAGCTGCAACTGGAAAATATGAGTTTCTGGCAAAATTCACATTTTATTGCTGTGATGCTCATAGTTAAAGGCTATTTTCTACTCAGATAAGATGTTAATCCACTGTAAAAGAATGCAAGCAAGCAACATTTTAAAATCATGAGAAAGCACACTCTTTGGCTCACAGAACCTTTAATTGTGGGATACGGAGTACAAAAGGAGCCCCAAACAAAACAAATTTACAAGAAAATCCCATAAAGACAGTTAAATCTCACAGACAGTAGGACTAGAGGTTGCAATCCTGGGATTTGGGGAATACCATTACCAAACAGGATCCCAGGAATTCCTTATGCTAATAGGTGCTCCCGAAATCCTGGGATTGCAATCCCTAAGTGGGACTCTGTTCAGAGTGAGGTCCTTCCATTCCCAGCACATCCCACAAAAATCAATCTTTGTTAGTCTCATTTAAATAGATAAATTGCTCAAACATTGCAGAAAACATTCCAGGAGCTGCACAATACAGTTATCCAGGAGTCAACTTAAAAGATTTAAAAACAAAACGCCTTGCCACGTGATGAAAATAGGATAAACAAGCTACTGTACAAAAAATATTGTCAATCATCTTTGAACCCAAACCTTTGTATTATTCATGATGTGATCTGCAGCTTACTTAATAGATACAATTTTAATAGCAAAATAATACACTTTTAAGAAAAACATGCCCCTGGTGAGATCAAAGACAACTTTTTTTAAGATAGAAAAGTGCACGTGAATTTTTTTCAAAAAATTTAATTGCCAGTTTATACTTTAAAATGCACTGTACAAAGATAGTCAGAAAAGCTATGTGTTGTGCGAGTGATTTAAGGTGTAATATTGTCCACTCTACAGATTTGTTTTTACAGTTTTGACACTTATGGTGAGAGAATACCAGCCACTATATTGCAAATAAAATCTCAGTATGCTATGCAACAGTGTAGAGATAACCTTGTCTGTATGAAGAAATGCAGATAGCAAACCAGATCATTCCCAAGATAGCAGAACTTTTCTTCATCATTCTACCTGATCCCGGAGGCGTGCAAGTCTTTGTGAAAGCTCATCCTGTGCAAGACAATGGTATTGAATCAATTTTGAGTTGTACAATCACTTTTAAAGTATAAAATTAGAGCAGCAGCTTGCATTTCCCACTCTCGTACACCACCTAGTGGCTCTTTATTATACACAAAAGTCACCTTCCACAAGTGGCTGTATTGTTAAAACATTATTTTTCCGCAAGCATCCCATGCTTTGCATATGTTGCAGAGAAGAGCAACTTTTTTTTTATATAGAAGAATTAGAAGGGATCTTATAGAAACCTATAAGATCATCAAAGGGCATGATAGAATAGATAGTGAGGAATTGTTTCCCCTGGTTGGAGAAACTAAAACCAGGGGTCACAACCTTAAAATCAGAGGCCAGCCCTTTCGAACTGAGTTGAGGACGAACTTCTTCACTCAAATGAACTTCACTTGCAGATGAGTGACATCAATGAACGGTAAAAGCAACTTAAATCCAATCTGAAATTTCTGAACTACGTTATAAAAGTTCACAATGGCTGATGTCTGGAACTCACTACCCCAAAGGGCTGTTGATGCTCAGTCCTTGGAACATATTCAAGAATGAGATAGATATGTTTCTTATTGCAAAAGGGATTAAGGGATATGGGGATAAGGCAAGGTTAGGTTATTAGCTGGAGTTAGATTAGACGATCAGCCATGATTGAATGGCGGGGCAGGCTCGAAGGGCCGAATGACCTACTCCTGCTCCTACATGTTATGTTATATACAGGTTCATCAGTCCCAGCACTCACACTTTGTTGTCCCTTTGATATTGATCTTATTTTATCTATTTGCCACAGAACTGGTTTCTATTTTTGACTCTGGAGACCAGACTTTCTGGTTATTTATTGCTTGATATTTCATAACTTCCAACTCAATGAAGCCACTTAACAGAGGGTGCACATGTATACCTAAACCTCACAAAAACAACCAATATATAGTTGGACCATGAATAGCCGAGGTTAGGGAGAATGTTTCCAGGGAAAAGGCATTCTTCTGTATACTCTGAAACCAGTGTTTGTATCAAGCGGTTCCAGATCAAATGCAGTAAGGACCAGATGTAAAGTAAATCTCTCCATTTGGCATCAATCACATACTTCAACCTCAGAAGTTCATCTCACTTCCAATTTGTTTCAATACCCACATCAGTTATCTAAGTGGGCTCATCGATAAGCATTGACATGGGCCATAAAGGAACTGAACTGAGATCTGAATTTAGTTAATGGTCATCAGGGAGATATTTAAAAGCAATCAGAAAACAGAGGAAAATGGTAAGGATTCAACAATTACTCTGTGCTTTTTTTTAAAATGTAGGGCTAAATGTTACGGCTCAATGTTATTTAAAGAAAAAATAAGGAACTATTTCTTTGCATTAGTGGATTTGAAACCAGACAGTAGTTGTCACCTTTAAGTGCACTTACCTGCTCTTGCGATGTCACACTGGCACTAATAGACCCACTCTGTCCTTCAGGAAGCTGCATGTTCAAATCAAGGCTGGAAAGAAAAATATTACATTAGGTTCTGTAAATGAACTTCACTTGCAGATGAGTGACATCAATGAACGGTAAAAGCCACTTAAATCCAATCTGAAATTTCTGAACTATGTTATAAAAGTTCACAATGGCTTCAACATAAATGGAATAGGAACAGATTGGGGTTACAGATTGTGTGCTTTTCCATGGATTTCGTTTCAGTGGTTTTGAGGCAGAAATAATATGGCAGGTCATGTCATTTGAGGACTGATGCAGCAGGTGGCACTTTTTTTAAACGAAAAGCTGGACTTTAAAAATGCAATATTTCATAGTAAGACTGGTTTGTGATCAGAACATTTATTCTCATTATGATCAGTTGAAGGTCTTAGAAAAATCCTATTTTACTGGCAATTTCTTCAATGGACATTAAAGTTGAGACTCAAGGATGAAAAATTAAATTTGTTGCTACCAAATTGTGTATTTTGTAAAATTTATAAATCCAAATTTTACATTCAAGTTACTATTTTAACCCTGCATTAAGCAAATATACATCCAGACTAACCCAGCTTCGTCAGCCATTTCATGCATCAGCGAATCCACTTGTTGCTGAAAAAAAACAAACTTGAGTTGAAAAGCATTGCTATTATACAGTAATCTCAAACAGCCAAAGACATGCAAGCTAATGTGTCTAAAAAATGTACTTGTAATCTCCTTCAGATAAATGTTCATTCGATACAGGAAAAAGATATTCCTAGAAAGTTGGGTGCTTTTGCTAAGGGAAGATTGAAGGCTATTGTTTAAGCTTAGTTGATGACTAGAGCAAACAGGAGAAATATGTGACTGTATTTCAAGTTTGAATGTTAACTTGTGATAGTATTCTGTAAATGAGTTGCTGCAGTTATTAATCAAGATTTACAGGAACTATTCAATAACAGCAAATACAATTTGAAACGTAATTCTCTGGCTGATCTGCTAAAATAGCTCATTTGTTATAAGGCCCGATATCAAATGCAAGGATTTTTTTTCCCCTGAAAGTTATGAGATAATGGCCATCCAGGACACTGATTTTCCCTGACCATTTTATATAATGGCACCTGTCAATACAACTGAGTTATAGACACGTGTCCCTTTACCTGAGGTGTGGTTAGTGTTGTGGTGTGGCTCATAGTGTCCTCCATCTGCTGCGTCTGGACATCTAATGTCTCAAACTGTTGTTCAAATGTATCCATTAGCGAAGATATCTGCAAGAAAATAATTATATCATTGGATTATAACTGCTCAAACATTCTATGAAGCAATTAAATGCAGGCATCCTAACACAATGGTTTACTAAGGAAAACTACATTCTTAATTTCTTAGCAGAAATATGTAGGTTACGATGGAGTGTGGCACTGAAAGAAGACACCTTATAATTCTCTGCAGTTCTGCTATGCTTTATTCGTGAGAGGTCCACAACGACCCAAAACTGTCTAGATTCATTTGCATACACATTTGTCTGCAATTGTCACCTTTTCTCCACAAAGAAGACTTAATTTAACTGTATTTAAAGTTTCATTAGTGCATACAAGATAGCAGCATTCAAATGCTGAACAGTCTGCGTGGCACAGAAAAGAAAGCCCGACAGACATGTTAATTGAAGCAAGTCTTGTGACCTTTCAGAAGCTTTGGGGCTGTTCTGCCACATTTCATGTGTTTGAGATTAAATTAGTGAAAGACAATTTAAAATGTGCTTTTAAGTGAAATGGGTTTGTGGCAGTCTGAATTCATTTCCTAGAGGATATGCATTCACTGGGCAAAACTGCCTTCAATGAGGCATTAATTGGTAAACTAACTTAAGAGAGGATGACTGGTGTGAGAAGTGGTCTCGTGGGGAGGCTCATCTGGAATTGGGAGTGATGTACATTTTTCAAAAGCAGCAAGAGTTTTGTTCTGTATCTACACCTGATTTGTCTATGACTGATGCGGTCACTGGCAACCCGAAAGGGAAAAACGTTCAATTTTCAACCTTAATGATGAGTGAATAACATTATGCTCAACCTTTCTCCAATAATACTACGGGCCCTCCATAGAGGATGCCAATGAATCACCTTGATCAGTGATTTATGTTTGATAGTCTCCATCATCTGAGCAATGAAAAGGAATAACAGAAAGTCCCAAACAATTTTCCTGAGAGAGCCTTGTAGATAATTTATAAGAAATATAATTATTTTGTAGTTCTGCTTTCTTAATGACCCAACGCTATCGAGATCAATTTGCTTGTACATTAATTTGCCATTGTTACACACAGCAACCACCTTATCTCCACAATTGTAAGTCTTAATTTAACTAACTGAATTTCATTAGTGCATACAAGAGGGCAAGAATCAAAACACAAAACAATGTGTGCGGCTTAGACTTCAAGCCTGGTGGACATTTTAATTGAAGAAACAATTCTGGTGGTTTGCTCAATGAGAATCTTTATAAGGACCTGTTGTTGACATGTGTAGGATTTTGACCTATGTTGCATTACCTTTTCCAGATTCATGTTTTTCAGTGTGACACTCATGGATTTTACAACTCCTGCCATTGATTTTGTTACCTGCAACAAAAAACACATCATTTATTGCTTCTTTGGTCAAACAGAGGAACAAAACATGCCAGGTTTTTATTGGTACTCTAGAGGAAACATTTGGACATAATCGCAATGTATGTGTATGGTTTCTGTGTCATATTGCTACAATTTAAATTTGTATTGAAGTACTATGTGATAATTAGAAACAGTAATCAAAGCAATACTTGTGATATGAATTGCAGTTTGGTGAATGACATAGGCGACAGCGACAAAATAGGTGGTTACTGGAAATTAGACACATTTTTATGTTGTGGTGGTTCATGAACAAGCTATTCTGGAAGAGCTTCATCTTAGGGAATGAACAGAATCCATTTTCCACAGACAAGATGACTAAGTATCGCATGCTGTTCCTGGGGTCATGTGTTGTATGAATTAGGTTTCACAACACTACAGCATAAACTTGTTTGCTACATAAGGCACATGAATTATGCACAACCCTAATAATGCCACTAGACAGGATTCAAAGCTTGGAAATGGATTCAAAGCTTGGAAATTCTTTCAAATTCAATGCAAGTTCTGTATAAATTTTGGATGTTTTCCAACACTGTTTCCTGAAGATACTATGCTTGAGAAAATGGTACGTAACCTTGCCCATTGTAACTGCACTCTGTACACGTGCTGCAACGGCATCCACTCTGGCACTCATTCGTAGAAAGTTAATTGACTGATTCTTTTGTCGGATTGCATTTTCTGCGTGTATTTTTGCAACTTCCATGTTGCCTTTCTGAATTGCCTGCAAACAGAACGGATACAAAAGTGAGAAATCGGGTACAAGTTAAAACAAAATTACAAGTTCTCATTTCAGATGACCACATCTGTTTGAAACATTTAAAAGCCATCACCTGTACCCAATTGAAAAATACAGTAAAATAATAAATCACAAACTAGCTTTTGTTATTGTATTGGTTTTATCTTCAAGTGGAGGATACCAGTATAGTTAGTATATGTTCTAGTGCTTTTTTTTCCACTGTTACATTTACAACTCTGATTGTAAGTCCTTTGCACAATTACTTGTGGAGTCCTAGCTCACTGGTTAGATAACTCGCCTCGCAAGCAAGAGACCTGGGTTCGATTTCCGGCAGGGTGAAACCTTGGGCAAGTTTCCTTACTCCAAACGCCTGATAATAATAATAAACAATAATCCTTGCATTTGATGTAGCGCTTTTCACGTCTTCTAGACATCTCAAAGCGCTTCACAGAATATGCTGTAAAGTGAATTGACTATATTTGTGGGTGAATAATTTAATTAATAAACAAATAATAATTCCTCAAGAACAAAAAAATAATAAATTGGTCATTTCAATCCACGATTGTTTATGGGACATTGCTGTGCTGCGCGTAATTGGCTGCCACGTTTCTCCCACAAATATATCGTCTATTCACTTTACAGTATATTCTGTGAAGCGCTTTGAGATGTCTAGAAAACGTGAAAAGCGCTATATCAAATGCAAGCATTATTATTACTTTATTGTTACAGATGTGTTAGGATCAAATAGGATCGAATACACCTTTACATAAATTGCTAATTTAATATTAAAATGTCAAATTAAGGAAACTTTTATTTCAGTAAGTTACACTAGTTCTTAAATCTGTGTAAATAATATGTACAGAGTATTTAAGGCTACCCACAAGCCAACCACGTTTTCAAAACTAAATCATTTATAAGTCGGCTTGTTTCAGGATCGATTTGAAAATTAAAAATGCCTAGCCCAGGAAACCTGCAATTTCTCCAGATTTGCCAGCAAACTAAGCTTAAGTATAATACTATCTATTAATATTACTGTATTTCATACCTTTTTAATTTTGGTCTTTTCCACTTTTTCTTCTTTGTCACATTTCTTGGCACTTCTGGAAAGTTCCTTTGCAGCAAACTTGAGATTAAACAAATGTTCTAAAAATCTGTTAAGGTTATACTTTCCAAAATGATCACAGTTATCATGTACAATGGCAACAAAAACTCACTGACTACGGTTTTGAGAGATGACACACCATTGATCACCAAACAAAAATAATGTATATGAAAAGCTTTGTAAGTTTCAGAATGGATCCCACTATGCAGCTGGAAGATTCTAAAAAAGCTTGAAGAGCACTAGCTGAAAAATTACTTCCATTGCTGAGAAACTGATGAAAGTTCAGATTCTAGCAAAGTTTTCAGTCTTTTACTGTAATGTGGTTGTTTCTAAACTGACTGCGAGTGCATACAGTATACATAAAGTTTCCAAATAAGGGTTTCAGTCACTTTAATAGAAAACAATTTTGGCAGACTGAAGTTGCCCATTTGGGAACTGTTTCTGTCTATCCAACTATCCAACATATAAAATTATTAAACTTCACGAATCTGGCAGGCTCAACGTATCATATGCTTTGGTAAGATCAACAAACAAAGGCCCACAAGTTGGACTACACATTTCTTGAGTCTGACATGACACAAATACTGTATTATCTGACCAGAATCACTCGAGTCTCGCTCCTGATGCAATGAAGGCCATTTGCACTTATAGAGGCTTTTACTGATGTAAAACACCTCTATATGTTTAGCAGTTAGCTTAACAGTTCCATATCATTCTGAGGGAAATGCTACGATACAAGCTGAATCTTTATCCTGCTGAAATCTCAATTTCATCTGTGTTTGATGAAATATCAAATCGCTCTCTCGATGCCATTAGTTCGGTTGACAGCAACATTGGCGAAAGCCTTGGGTCGGGAAGAGGTTTGGCTCCAGCAGACAGAATAAGTCAGGAGGTTAAAAAGCTTTTACAGTGGAAAATCCAGTTTGAACTGAACAATGGCATTCCAAGCAAGGACACGCCTCAAAAGTGTCGGGAGAGATTGCAACAGGTCAGGGTGAGCAATGATCTCAAGACGGCCGAGGTTTAAGCGCGGAAACTTGAAAGAGCTGGTCGCGTTTACTTCGAACACTCCCCACAAGCAGAAAAGTGGGTTAGTAATGACGACGACGTACTGAGTAACGTGAACCAACCGTCCCATCTCTCTACGGAAGGGCTGGGTCGCGGCGGCTGGGAGTATTTCCCGGATCCAAACCCAGAGGGGGGGAAACTTCCCTCCCTCCCTCCCTCCCTCCCTCACGTCACAACGAGGCGTGGAGGGGAATCGGAATTTCCCCCCCGTCACAGGGCGTCGAGTCGGTGTCAGTCCAGTGTCAGCGTCAGTCGGGGATTTAAATCCACGGGTTTTACTTACTCTCTGTGACTGCACTTTTTTTTAAAAAAAAATAAGTCGGGACTCGTTTAACCTTTCGCAACCAAAGCCAAGATCTACAGATAAACGTTGACGGTTCGTAACACCCACCACAACCCCAACCCCCTCCCCCCCCCCCCCCCACCCCAGGAAAAAACCCCAATCAAAACAGCAGGAGCAACAACAACAACAACAACAACAGACCAAAAAAACACCACCCCAGTGGTTTCACCGGCTGGAGGCCGGGCGGCCCTCACTGTCCCCGTCTGTCGTCCCCCTCACCCCTCACCAAACCCACTCACACACCCCACCCGGGGCCTAAGGGCCGGCTGTCGGCGCTGCGGCCTCCGGGTGACGGGAAGGATACTCTCCAGGCTGGACATGGCTCGGGCTCGGGCTCGGCCTCGGCTTCAGCTCCGTCAACACACACACACACACACACACACTCACTCACACACACACTCAGGCACTTCCGCCGCTACGCAGCGTCACATCCGGCTGCTGCACCGACCTGTGATGTCACGCGAGCACGTGACACACACACTAACCTCTCACACACACACACACACTAACCCCTCACACACACACACTCCCCCCCCCCTCACACACACTAACCCCCCTCACACACACTAACCCCTCACACACACACACACTAACCCCTCACACACACACACTAACCCCCACACACACACACTACCCCCCCACACACACACACTAACCCCCCCCCCACAACACACTAACCCCTCACACACACACACACTAACCCTCACACACACACACTAACCCCCACACACACACACTACCCCCCCACACACACACACACTAACCCCTCACACACAAACACACTAACCCCTCACACACACTAACCCCTCACACACACACTAACCCCTCACACACACACACTAACCCCTCACACACACACACTAACCCCACACACACACACTACCCCCCCCCCACACACACTAAACCCCCCCACACACACACACTAACCCCTCACACACACACACTAACCCCCACACACACACACTACCCCCCCCCTCACACACACTAACCCCTCACACACAAACACACTAACCCCTCACACACACACACTAACCCCCCTCACACACACTAACCCCTCACACACACACACACTAACCCCTCACACACACACACTACCCCCACACACACACTACCCCCCCCCCCCTCACACACACTAACCCCTCACACACCACACACTAACCCTCACACACACTAACCCCTCACACACACAACCTCCTCCCCCCCCACACACTAACCCCCCCACACACACAGCCTCCCCCCCACACACTAACCCCTCACACACCAGCTTCCTCCTCACCCCACACAGCTTCCCCCCTCCACACAGCCTCACCCCACACCCCCCCCCCACACACAGCCTCACCCCACACCCCCACACACACAGCCTCACCCCCCACACACACTAACCCCCCACACACACAGCCTCACCCCCCCCACACTAACCCCCCACACACACAGCCTCACCCCCCCCCCCACACAGCCTCACCCCCCCCACACACTAACCCCCACACACACAGCCTAACACACACCCCCCATACACACACAGCCTCACCCCCCCACACACACACTAACCCCCCCCACACACACAGCCTCACCCCCCCACACACTAACCCCCCACACACACAGCCTCACCCCACACCCCCCACACACACAGCCTCACCCCCCCACACACACTAACCCCCCACACACACAGCCTCACCCCTCCCCACCACACACACATAGCCTCACCTACAGTGACCCATCAGACACAACCTCACCCACACTAACTCCTGACACACAGCCTCACACACACCAGCCCTCCTGATAACAACTGCATAATTTATATAGCCCCCCTCACGCAGTGCAGTGCCCCAGAGCACTTGACAGTGGTGGAGCACAATACTGGGGAGGGGGGAGACGGGCACGGTCAACGGAAAGTTTTCAGGCACGATTTGAAGATATGGAAGGAAGCGGCAAGGTGGGGGGTTAGCGGAAGAGCGCTCGTTCCAGAGTTTCGGGGTGCAGTGGCTAAAAGTGTGGCCACCGATCATGGAACGGAGGGAACGAGGTACATGCAGGAGGCTGAAGCCAGTCGAGTGGAGGTAGTGGGTTGGGAATTAAGCAGGTCAGGCAGGAGCCAGGGCATGAAGGGATTTGAGAACGAGTGTGAGGATCCTGAATTCGATGCGTTTGGGCAATAGTGAGCCAGTGTGGAGCCTGGCTAGCACTGGTGTGATAGGGGTATGAAGTTTAGTACACACAACCTCACTCACACCAATCCCCGAAGCAGAATCTCAACCAGATCCAATCTCACCTACAGGATCATTGCAATCTGACGAAACCGAGCCATTCACCCAGAGCAGAACCTCACCACTTACAGGACTGTTTCAATCTGATCACACCCAGCAGTACAGCTCGGAGCCTCACTGGCAGGACCTTTGCAATCTGGATTGCAAACTGCAAAATTGCAATCACGTATGTCAGGACAATCGACTGACCAAAAATACCCTGCCCTTTACACAGTTGCTAGGTGACAGGATCTTGTTAATCTCATTAACTGGGCCTCTCATTTTCCGGGGTTTGATTACCGTTTCTCACTTGCACGAGGTTTTTCAGGAGAGTGCTAAATATCAAGGGCAAGTGAACCAGTGCAAACGCCCCCATACCTTTCTAATTCACCGTTTCAAGGCTGATTGCTTTGTTGTACAGCGTTTAACAATTTTCAGCAAAGAGCAATCTTCCTAGCCTTTGTGTTCCAACAGTATAATGTAATACATTTTTCATTTTTTGACATTACATTTGAGTACTGACTCACAGAAATTAAGTTTAATGAGTGTGTTTTTGCCTGTTGATCCTTACACTGTTTAATATTAGAGCACAACTCACATGTAGTGCTCAATGGCAATAGCTGTACTGATGGGCTTCAGCCTCCCCCCCCCCCCCCCCCACCCCATTATTCATTCCACAGCTTAGAAGTCACGTAAACTTATGATGTTTCTTGAACACTCCTATGACCAGGTATATAAAGTACGATTCAGATAACAAGCTAAATTTATGCAGATTTTGGGTGTGAATTCTACACTTAAAACTAATTCCATCATAACCTAGGTTTCTTTGAAAAGCAGGTCAGACTGTACAGGCCAATTGTACAGGGCTATTCATCAATGTATTCTATGAAGCAAAATGCTATTATTTCTCAGTCAATTCACATGTTGCTAACAGATACATCCTATTACAATCTTGCATCATAATGCAATTCCCTTCCACCCTCCATTCATATCAGGTAGTGGAGAGCCAAACAGAAAATGCAACCGAACTTTTGAAGGGCAGCAGAATTCTCTTCACAACCACAAAGTGACCAATGAACAGGACCACACAAACTAGTCAATTAAAACCCTCCCTGCAAGTCACAGCTATGGATGAACCCTACGTGCATTTTCTGTTGATTTCAAATGAAACCAGGCATCACGTTAATCTGCAGTAATCCTACCTCTCTTATATTTCATTTCTGACCTTTATTCGGCAGTAGCTTTCAATAATTGATATTTATTTCCATTTATACTCATTTACGTTCAATGGAGATTAAACTTATCTTTAAAAAAGGAATGGCATTACAATCAAACCAACGCCTAATGGGTCTGCCTCTTAATAAAGATACCATTCAATGCATTCCCCAGCTTGTATTCTCTGTGTATAAATTCTTCATGCAATGCCATGTTTCACTGATTAAAACAGTTCAACTCAATAAAATTGCCATTGTTTTGCCTGTCAACATTAACGTTGTGGCAAATTCACAGCACACCCAGGTTGCAAATCTGAAACTGAAAATTAAACTGAATTTGGTGTAGTAATAAGGAAGATGAATGTTCCAGTGATATAACTTGATCGTCTTTTCAAGATGTAAAACATTCCCTAAGTTATGGTGGGTTCCATGATCAGTTTTGCACTGTCTAAGGAAGGAGTGGACCTGTTGAACCAAATGGCCTTTTTACATTCTATGCTTACTTGTGTAAATTAAGAGTGCAGATGGTTTGTTGCTGTATAGGCTTTCATCATCAGCAGATGATTATCAGCTGGTGACATGTTTGTTCTGCAGCATGTATATTTCATGACAGATTTTTCTCATTTTAATCTTTTGTCACTTCCACCTTTAAAAAATATTTCAGGGTAGGACTGTTTTTATCCGTACGTCATTTTATTCTGTTTCCATGAACACGTGGTGAGTACATTGCCAGAAATCCTGTACTGTTGATGTCCACTTCATTTTCAGTAGGGAAAATTAAATTGCTGTTTCCGAAGTACAGTAACAGAAATGCACTTTGTAGTGTTTTCCGGCCTCTCATCCCACACAACATTGTCATGGACATAATCCCTTTTTTATTACATACGTTAAATGACGTCGATTCTGAGGTTTCATTACTGAAATTCAATCCTTGTCAGGCCTCAAATTTTAACAGGTGCACGGTTACTATATGCCATTAATAATTGATCATAGCTTCCAAAATGGCTAATTCATCCTTTCATACAAGACCCTCAGAGCTGTAAATCAATAGAAAAATCCAAATATAGCAGAGCCGTTCTGGCTTGTTAGTCATCTCGCCAAATAACATCACGGAGGCTACGAAAAGCAAATCAGATTTACAAGCTCTTTTTTAACCATTTATTGAGCAATATTTTTTGTACAGTTGTATTGCACTGAAACAAATGTTATGGGGGAAAACATCTACCTTTGTTATGATCAGTGGTTTATGTATCCATTGGCAAACCAAAATAATAATAATTCTTGCATATGATATGGACCATGGCGTAGAATGACATGAGTTAGCTAATTCAATGAGTCAAACAGAACCAGACTTCTGCAATGTTTGGAATCAAAAAACTTGTCCCTTAAAAAAAAATTGGTTACTCAATCCAGGACTGTTTGTGAGATACTGCTGTTCACAATTGGCTGCTGTGTTTCGCCCACAAAAAACAGCCACTAGACTTTACAATATATTCTATGAAGCACTTTGAGATGTCTCAACAAAGTGATAAGGTGCTATATCAAATGCTTGGATTATTATTATTGATACTGAAATCTCCAAACCTTAGGTATAATAACTGTCAGTCTTTATACTCCAAAGTTAAAATACTGTTCACATTTAGTTCTCATTACAATTGAAAGGTGTGGTATGGCTAATAGCTTTAAGGGAGTAATGTTTGCATTTGGTGAAAGCAAGTTTCCTTTCCTCAACTTCAGTCAGTCCTGTTAGTTTAAAATTATAGCTTCCAGACTGAGGCTCTAATTCTTGACAGCAATTCTACAGAGAATCACTGAGATGAAGGAACAACCCATAGAGGATTAGTGTCAGCATACAACAAATTACCCTGTAGGATGGAATATTTTTGACTTGGAGCCCAACTATTATCCTGACCTTTTATTTCCCACTTTTAGACAAGTGCACACCATGTGATTTCTGGTTCTGTAAATTATATTTGCGGTCAACTAAGTTATTGGTTTGGGAATTTCTCCTGGAG